GAGAGAGAGAGAGAGAGAGAGAGAGAGAGAGAGAGAGAGAGAGAGAGAGAGAGAGAGAGAGAGAGAGAGAGAGAGAGAGAGAGAGAGAGGTAAACAAGAGATGAAAAGCAGGGGTTGTGGAAGAGGGGATGCACAGGAAGTGTACTTTTACCGAGCCTTTGTAGTTTTGTTATACACAGAAAGGTGGCTGTAGGGAGGGAACATTCTGCCTCCGATTCCTACTGTATTTCCGTTCCTCCTCCTCAGAGAGAGAGAGAGAGAGAGAGAGAGAGAGAGAGAGAGAGAGAGAGAGAGGTAAACAATAGGTGAAGAGCAGGGGTTGGTGGAAGAGGGGAGAGAGAGAGAGAGAGGAAAAAAATAGGTGAAAAGCAGGGGTTGGTGGAAGAGGGGATGCATAGGAAGCGGTGTATTTTTACCGAGCCTTGTGTAGTTTTGTTATGTGAGAAAGGTGGCTGTAGGGTGGGAACATCCTGCCTCTGATTCCTGCTGCATTTCCCTTCCTCCTGACCGCCAATGCCTGTCTTCCTTGCTAGGAATTTCAGACTTCTGTTAACTATTGGCCTGTTAATAGAATGTTGTCGTAGATATCGGCTCCCTGGAAGGCGGGCTCGTCATTCCATAATTAACTCCCTGAAGGGAAGGACACGAGCGCAATTTGCTCTAGTCTACAAGGGCACGAGGACATTTCCTTCCAGTGTGGATCTGCGTAATTCTCTACTAATTCACGCTTTGTTTTGTCAAGTTATTGCCAATCGGCTTGTGTGTCTTTTCAGTTTTAACTTTATTAGCTTTGCATTGACGGCAAGTCCCTCATTTCTGTTGCCATTCTTGTAAGTCAATCTATTATTTTGTTATCGACTTATCGTTCACTCCTTTCTTGCTTCGTTTTCCAGGTTATTATTGGCAAGGCAATAATATTGATTGGTAAGTCCCTTGCTGTTTCCAAGCAATACGTATCGATCTTTCTTTGCCATGTTTGTAGTTTTGCGCTGATCGATTTTGTTGACCAACTAGCTCAGAGTTCAAAACCTATGCAAACCACATTGAGGGCAATGATATCTAGGTTTATTTTTTATGATGTTGATGGTTTCTTGATCTCCCCTCTCGAGACCAGCTGGTATTATTTACTTCGCTATTTTAATAACTCCGGAGTCCGGTAAGGTTCCCTGAGAAATTTATTCAGCAGCAGAAACAGTAATATATAAGCCATGCTCTCACTCTTCCTTCAAAACCACCTGTACCTCTCAACCCATTTGGTCAAACCTCAAGATCATTACCCTCACTGGTCCACCTTCATCGAGCCTCAAGTGGTTTGCTGAAGCGGACGAGGCTGAACAAAACCAATGTTGCAAACGGCTCTCCAGGCATGAAGTGCTGAAGGGGCTTAAAGTGCTATTGTCTTCCATTGATCTTCAGGGCCAGCAGCGGAACATTCTGTAAGTTGAAGAAGGCTGTTGGTGAAAACAGCTGGAGACATCAGAAGTCAGAATGCTGAGTCTGACACTGAGCTCCAGATCCATCGCACGGTTGGGTCCACCAGGCAACGCAGGCTTTTGTCTAGGAACTCGCGCCTGGCCGGTCGTGCACGGCCAGGCACCCAGGCGTGCAAAAAAATAAATAAATTAAAATAATACTTTTTTTTTTTTTTTTTTTTTTGGTTTTGTGCGCTTTCCAAGAGGACCCCGAATCCGGGCTCATTTCTTTTTTTGCGAGTTGGCTGTCAAGGGGGGCGAAGGGGGGGGGGGGTATAAACTGGTTTTAAGGGGGCTGAAGGGGCTTAAAGGGCGGTTGCCTTTGTGTGATTTTGTTGTTCTCTTTTTTATCTCCGATTCTGTGAGGGAATCCTAATGTGACCCTCAGCCAAAAGTCGTTTGTATTTCAATTCTACACAACGTTTTTTATTTCCGTATTTTTTTTATTTTTTTATTTTTTTTGCACTGAGGCTGCCCGGAACCCTGCCTGGGGGTCATGCCCGGCCGGTCCCCCAGGCGTGTACCCGGGCATAAGTTGGGTGCCCGGGCGCCCTGAAAAACAGCCTAGTCTTTGGTCAGTTTATTTTAGAATGAGGTGACCTTTTGAATCGATATGGCCCATGCGACAGAGTTTGGATGGGCAGGACTCTAAATTTGTTACAAGACAAACTAGAAAAACCATATATCCATGTCGTCGACTGAATGGAACGGCTGATCCCAAGTTGACTGTGGAGTAAAATTGCATCATGATTGAAACGTTATGTGTGCTGGCGTGCTGTCAAGCTTGAAAATTGTCGAGTGGTTGTGCTTCCATGGCAACGCCCAAAAGTGTTGCCTTCCCATTGTGCGAGTCGAGGCCCCCAACAGGACACATGTGCACACAAACACACCCTGATGGGGGTCCTATTAGAGCTTGTTAGCAGCTGAAGACTTTTTCAAGTGTACCTTACATCCATATGTGCTGCTTTTTGGCTGACTGGGGAGGGATGGTGGTTATACATGGCCGACTGGGGAGGGGTGGTGCTTATACGTGGCCGACAGGGGAGGGGTGGGGAGGGGTGGTGCTTATACATGGCTGACTGGGGAGGGGTGAAGACTTTGAAGAGTGTACCTTACATCCATACGTGCTGCTTTTTGGCTGACTGGGGAGGGGTGGTGCTTATACATGGCTGACTGGGGATCCATACGTGCTGCTTTTTGGCTGACTGGGGAGGGGTGGTGCTTATACATGGCTGACTGGGGAGGGGTGGTGCTTATACATGGCTGACTGGGGAGGGGTGGTGCTTATACATGGCTGACTGGGGAGGGG